GTCGATATCTTAAGTAAATTTTCCAGTCGACAGAAATCGACCCGTGACAACCCGTGAAGGCAACTTCAGGAATTTTTTAATTTTCTTTTTTTTTTTGCTTGAGCGTCTATTGAAGATGTGCCAAATTATATTGTCGCCTTAAATACAAAACAACAATTTCTTTAAGCCATCTTGTGCAGCAATTTGTTGATCTTATCCTCACGGCTACCGAAAACACCAACCTCAACGTAGTGATTAGCCTTCTTGCGCCAGCCTCGGGTTGATGTGTTGAGCTTGAATAGCAACAGGAAGTTGGAGGAACAATTTCTTTAAGCCATCTTGTGCAGCAATTTGTTGATCTTATCCTCACGGCTACCGAAAACACCAACCTCAACGTAGTGATTAGCCTTCTTGCGCCAGCCTCGGGTTGATGTGTTGAGCTTGAATAGCAACAGGAAGATCCGCGGATGCGGATCACAAAAGCCAATTTGGATTTTTCAGGCCCGTCGAATTAGCCGCATTCTCCATCTCACGGCGTCCATCACGGAGTTTTCTTGTTTGATATTTCTCAGCATGCACCAAGTTTTCACATTTACGGAGTGCAATCACAGCAGAGCGCTTTAGTTTACGTTTGATCAGGGTAGCAATTTGCTGACCTGCTCTTGCTGAACTGCAGCTTCGGCTCGGGGACGGGAGGCAGCTTCCTGGAAGGTTGTCTGCCCTTTGCTTGCGGTTTCTTACCGGCCCATGATGGCAGTCATCTTAACTTGTTACTTAGCACGTTGAAAAGGTAAAAAAAAGTTCGCCAAATGTTTGGAGCACATCGTAACAAATTAATTAAATACTTTTTATACATAGATATGCTGAAACCATGCACTTACTTTCCCAAATTCCATCCTGTTTATCGGCATAATTTTCCAAATATGCCAGCTACTTCATTACTAATTACTAAATTTTCCAACTGCGCCTTCTTTGTTGGCTCGACATATCCTAAAAAGACAAATTTACATTAAACAATAGAAATCGCAAAAATTAGCAAATAAAATACTTGCTTTGTTTGGTTTTGTTGTCAAATTTCTGAGAAATATGAATTCACCACGATGCGATACAGAAAGAACAAGGACCAGGGATGTAATTTTAAGTAAATATATTATTCAGTGGCAAGGCGCAGAGCGTTCGGGGCAGCAATATTAATTTGTATCAAATATAACATTAAACGGTGGTTCTAATACATTTTTTGATATTATTAACCAGAGTACATATGTACATTATATGGTATTTCTTTCAAAAATTAATGTACTATATGAACTTTTTTTTTCAAATATTTCTTAAGTTTCTTTCATGAGTGCTGAAAAGCAACCATGCGCGTAAGAAATTGTGTGCTACCTAAAATTTCACCTCTGGAAACTTTATCCCCATAAAGGACTTCACCACAGTTTTTTTACTGGATATACTGAGGTGTAGTTTGTTTACGTGCTTACGTACATAATTATTAATATAAATGATGACCGAAAATTAACATTCTGTTTGTGACAATATTGTACAATAAATGTTTTCTGTTTATTATTCAACTTATTAATTTAATTATTAATTAATTTAATTAATTTTTTCTTTATTTTCAATACGTGATAGTAAGTAGGTACATATATCTGTGTTCGTATGGAACAGTAGCTTATGTCGGGAAGCTGGCTTTATGCGCGGCATTCTCTTTATTCTGCAAATGACAAGGAATTTTTTGATGAGACTTAATAAGAATATTGTCTTGCTAGTATCGGAACTATTTCTTGGGCATTTATTTGCCAAAAGTTCTTCAACGGCTCGGCGCCGATGAGTCATTCGCAATCGTAGGCTGCGAATGCCGCATTATACTAAAGCCAGCCTTTCGACATAAGCTCCCTGAGGGAAAGATTGGTCCCATTTCTCGAAAAATATAGTCGTAGGTATAGTAGCTTTGTATCTAGACCAAAGATAGTCCAAAAATATAAAGCAATGTAATGTAAAACAGGTGAATTGTACTAAAAGTGGTCCGAATGTAATGCATAAGGTATGAGTTTTGATCTAAAACTGGTTACAATGTCATGCAGTAGCGGACAACGGGTACAATTAACGACTTGCTAATAGGTAGGCACTTAGTCAACAAATTTTCATGTGCGACGTTGGCGTGCAGAGAGAGTATCCGCTTAGAAAATATAAGAACCCCGGTTCGAATCGCAGCGGGCGCAAGTTTTATTTTGGTTTTTTTTCCCCCAAAATTGGATACAATGTAATGCAGAAGCAGACAATTGGTCCGAGCCTAGGACATTCAATGTTAAATGTAAATCGAATTTTACATGTTGTTGGACCAAACTTTGGACTACTTACAATCACTTGCAGTCTAGTTTGTGGTGTGCTCTAAGTCTATTCCGAGATCCTACAGGGCTATTACTCCATACGAACACAGATATACATATGTACATACATATGTATATTGTAAAAAAAATACACACTTAAATACGGTTTTATCCTCCGTATTCGCCTCTGATTTTTAATTGGGTTTTCTTTTAAGGTCAATGCCCAAGCCCTATGCACTCGGTGCACATTCATTTTTTGTAAAAGTACTTATGTACCTACATAGTTTTAGGCTGTGTGTTCTAATATATACACACACAGCATTCCACGCGAAACTATACGAAATAGATGCACAAACATTTTTGTCTACTTCGCTTCTAACTTTTTTCATTGCGTATGCACAAGCACAAAGCAACAAAATTTTCGTATGCTTTGTTGGAACATATTGGCGCCAGTTACCTTCAGGGTAAATTTCATTGTTGTCCTGCGTTTTATCGCAGTGTTCGGGTGTCCGTTTCATTGTTACACAAATTTTCGCGTTAGCTGCGGGTTGTTGTTGTTGTTGTAGCGGCTACAACAACCCCGTCCAGATCGGCTGATATCTCAGTCGTTGTCGTCGAGTTCCACTAACGGCAGCCCCAAGAAGCGTGCAGCCTCTATGGGGTCGGTCCATAGGGACGACGCCGTTAGGGTTGTGGGGTTTTCCGGGCATGCGAAGAGATGTTTCGAGTCGTGAGGGGTCTCTCCGCATGCCGGACATTCGTTCGGCACATCCGCATTTAACCTACTCAGGTAGGAATTTAGCCTGCTGCAGTAGCCAGAGCGAAGTTGGGCTATTGTTGTTCGGGTCTCCCGAGGCAGATGGAGCTCCATCGCGTCAATGTCCGGTGTTTGTGTGCCTAGAACGGCATTCACAGGTCTTGAGTCTACATAACTCGAGACTGCGTCCCTGTGAATGCCGTTCAGGGCCTGTCTGTGAGCTGACGGCTCCAGAGGCTACTTAATGAACCTCTGGACTTCGTCCGTCAGTTCATATAGATGCCTCCTGACGTGCCTCGGCGAGGGCTCCTCTGCAAGCAGCTGTCTATTTGGGTGGCCACATCTGTGGCTCCCAACAATAAACTGCTTGCAGAGCATCGTGTTGTGCTCCCTAATTGGGAGCATTTTCGCCTCATCGTGGAGGTGGTGTTCTGGTGTCATCAGGAGGCATCCGGTCGCTGTCCTAAGCTGCGGGTGTCCGGGTGTGGTGTTCGCTTGTGATCAATTTATAGCGAGGGTGATCGAACAGACTCGTTCGTACTCAAAGCAGCTGTCGGGTGTGCATCTCGATCGAACACATAGTAGCCGAGTGTGGCGTTCGCTTGTGCTCTTTAGTGAGGGTGATCAAAAAGGCTCGATCATACTCAAAGCTGCTGTCTGGTGCATATGTCTTAACTAATACTAGGGACCTATGTAAGTCATAATGCACTTTTTATGATCATAACAGTTTGCTTCTTTTTTAGTCTGCAATTTCTTTCAGTAAGAAGAAAGTAGAGCAAAGGGGCTTAGTCGTTAAATTAATATTAAGGGCTAGTTTCTCCAACTCAACTTAACTTAGTTTAGCCACTTTTTGGACTTAAGTCAAAAGTTAGCCTACGTTTTACACAGCGTATTCTTGACTAAGAAACTTGGCTTAGTCAAGAAAATTGACTTAACTAATTTGAGTTGGAGTAACCAGCCCTAAGAGTTAGCTTTGGCAGATGTACATATGTATGTACATATAAGTTGCGATCCCGTACGAGTCCATAATAGTCAGAATTAGTCAGATTTTACTGGAAAGCGATCCCGTACTCGGTTCTCTGACTATTGAGAGGACAAAAAAGAGGCTAAAAGGGGTTCTCTCTCTGTCAGAAGTTACCAGTTTTAGTCCGAAGATTTTTTTGCGGGTAAATGTGTCAAACGATCAGCTGTAGTGTGTTTGGCAACCAAATTGTAAACAAAAGAAAAGTGCACTCTGCTAATTTATGTTGAAAAGTATTTAATTACTTGTTTAAGTGGATTCTTATGAATTTGAAAGTATTTTGGTTTCATGTGCGAGCTGAGTGTGTTTACATACAAAATAAGCAAAAATTTCCAACCAAAATTTGGAGGTTATGTTGAAGTTGACAGAAGTTACCACTTTTTACTAGAAAGCGATCCCGTACTTTTCATTGTTACTCTCTCGCTCTGAGCGAATTTTAATTTTTTGACAGCTTTACTAGTTTTAGTCCGAGGAATACGGGATTGCACCTATAAATTCCATGCATACGAATGTATGTATGTATATTCTCTCTCACATAAATACTATTACATAATTCATTTTTTAATTCGCTCTTTCCCTATTTTTAGCGCTCAACTGCAATATGTTACATTGGCCACACAATGCTTCAAACCAAGTCAGGATAAGCTGATGGAATTGCTAAAACCAACTTCGACTCAAATCAGCGCCATCCAGGATTATCGTGAGAAAAATCGTGGTTCGCCATTTTTCAACCATCTATCGGCAATTAGTGAGAGTATCGCAGCGTTGGGCTGGGTTTGTGTGGTAAGTTGATTGGGTTTGGTTATATTTTTGGGAGGATTATTTTTACTCCTTTCATTGTTTGTATGTTAATTTATAGGCACCCACACCCGGACCGCATGTGAAGGAAATGAACGATGCCGGTCAATTCTATACCAATCGTGTTTTGAAAGAGTGGAAAGATAAAGATGCCACTCACGTAGAATGGGCACGTTCATGGATTCAAACATTGACTGAATTGCAAGCATATATTAAGCAGTATCATACAACCGGACTAGTGTGGTCCGGTAAGGGCGCTGCACCTGCAAGCGGGGCTGCACCACCACCACCACCAATTGGTGGCTGTCCACCTCCACCACCACCACCAGCATTCGATATAGGCGCGTTGTCATTGGAAGATGGTGGCGCAGATGAACGCAGCGCTCTTTTTGCTGAGATCAATCAGGGCGAGGCTATTACGAAAAGTAATATTTTTAAATGAAGAGCTTTTGATAAGCATTTACACCATACTTTTATTTTAAATGAATTCTTTAGATTTGAAGAAAGTTACAGCTGATATGCAAACTCATAAGAATCCAACATTGCGTACTGGTCCAGCGCCATTCAAGACACCCACGCAATTCGGTGCGTTCGCTGCAGGTGCAGGACCTAAACAAGCTGCAGCAAAAGAACCAGTATTTACACGTGATGGCAAAAAATGGTTGATTGTAAGCCTAATAAAATTTTTATATATATATATATTCCTAGTTATTCTATTATTATACTGTGCTTCTTTTTTCGTAGGAGTATCAACGCAACAATCCCAGTCTGCTAGTGGAGAATGCGGAAATGAACAATGTGGTTTATATGTTTAAATGTGAGGGTTCAACTTTAACTGTTAAGGGAAAAGTAAATAATGTCGTCTTGGACTCTTGTAAAAAGTGCTCATTACTCTTTGATTCGGTAGTAGCATCTGTGGAGTTCGTAAACTGCCAAAGCGTCCAGATGCAGGTTGGTTTCTATTATTTCTCTTTTTGCTAATCATATTACGAAAAAAACGCTTATATATTCGTTTAGGTTCTTGGCTTTGTACCAACTATTTCCATTGATAAAACTGATGGCTGCCAAATGTTTTTATCAAAAGACTCGCTCGGCGTAGAAATTGTTAGCTCCAAGTCTTCCGAAATGAATGTTATGCTTCCTCAAGCCAGTGGCGATTATGTATGTAAAATGTTAACATACAGAAACAAGAGATAATTATTTTTTACTCTTTGCAGACCGAGTTAGCTGTACCGGAGCAATTCAAGACGACCATTTCAGGAAAATCTCTGAAGACTATTTGCGTCGAAAGTCTTGGCTAAAATAATGGAGTGCAGCAGATGGATGCAAATGGCTGATACTTTTCATCATAGGCATATCTAATAATATATTTACAGCTAACTAAACATACATACATACATGTTTATAAAACAATTTTGCTACTCCAAACTAATTTTTTATATCATAAATCCGAATTCTGAAGTATCCATAATATCGAGTGCAAAAAATAATAATTCGATACACATACATGAGCTTCAAAAGTAGAAGGAAGATAAACAATATAAGTCTACAGTTGCTTGCATTGTAACTTGAATGTATTATAAAGGAAACCACTTAAATGGATACACTACTTGTTTTATATCAATTCGTATTCGTGAGTTTATAAAAGTATTTAATTTAGTTCATAGTATTTAAATATCAGTAATGGGTCGCTTATGGACGCAACCGGAGTTGGGTTGCCGATGGTCAAGGCCACTGAAATTTAATCTGTATTATGAATAGCAACTATAGTTAAGTGCTATAAAGTTGAAGATAATAAAATTTTGAAGTATGTACCAGCAACCAAAATTTTAGTGTAAATAAGGAAAAAAAGAGTTGAAAAATAAATACATTTTCCCAATGAAAGTTTCGCTGCACCACAAAAATGCAGTTGCCATTATAACAACTCAGTTGTCAGCTTTCAGTTACCTGTTGCCATCTGTAATACCATTTCAGCCACTGGAAACCCAACTGAAGTTCGGTTTCCATCCGTAATCGACCCATAAATTTGGTAACATAACATTTTTATTTATAGTTGTTTCATGGATTTCCAAACTTCATGTATTTTTATTATTGTCTTAATGAAATATAAAAGCAATTGCTGCATTTTTAGGATTCGTCAAAAGCAAATATAACAAATTTTTAGTGATTTTTAAATATTAGTCTAAATAAAAGTAATTATTATGACAACATAAAGTTTAATTGAAATTGAAGTTATGATTATATGTATTAAATTTCATGCAGCGGTTAATAAATTAACTAAAATTTATACTGACCCATATATGTCTTTTAAACTGGGACTCTTTCAAATAAATTGGGTGCTTGGGCGCGTGAGCTTAATTAAATACGTATTCTACTAATGAGAACCATTTTAATAGGTAAGCTGGTATACATATGTTTTCAAGTGCTTTAAACTTGTGGATCGGATCTCAGCAGTTATAAGTTTCGAATAAAAGGCAGGTAATCCTGTTGCATACAATCGGTCAGATGATCTCAACCCGGCTGCCGAAAAGACACTGATCTTAGTCGAGTAACAAAAGGGGTATTCCATGAGTAAGTGAAACTTTGTGTCCAATTGTAGAGTAGCTTATTGAACATGGAATGCTTGATGAATCAATGCTCAATACCTGAAATTAACGTTTTTTCGAAAAAAAATTTAGTTATATTATTTTATTACACTGTAAATACACTCAAAACTTCAACATTAGAAAAGTAGTTGAATACGACAACATATTTTAATATAGAAGGCTCTGCAAAATCAAGTATTCACAAAGTTATTATTTTTTTGAAGGGGGGAATAAATGTCTCGATCTTTCTGCGCCCCGAAGAAGCAATATGGCATTGAAGAAAAATAGGCATTTAAATTATATAATAGGATAAAATCACTACGGTTTAGCATGTCCAACCCGTGACTAAAAAGTTTTAAACTTCGTATTGCTTAGTTACTACTTTAGGGAGTTTTCTATAATTTCATAACTAGAGTGTGTTTATAATAAGCAGCCCTATTTCATTTCTTTTATTATATTATAAGTACCTACTTAAGAGATTTTGAAACGTTTTATCGTGTCCCGCCCGTGACAATCATTTATAATTTTTTTCTAATGATGCCTAACAATAAAAAAATAAGTTTAACGTTTCAAACCTATGTTTAATGCCACAAAACTCTGAAGTACAGGTTGACTAAACACCATAATACTGTTGGTGGGCTAAGCGATGTAGTAAAAAATTTCGCGTGGCCAGCTCGAAAAGTCAAGATAAGCATTACTATCTTAGAGACGCCAGAGAATTCTATGATGAGGGTTGCTTAACAACAATTAAAAGTCAATATTAACAATTACCTGAAAAGTTCCAACCAAGAAAATCTAGAAGTTCGCGAAACTTATAAATTCAATCCAATAAATAGCCTTTAAGTGACAAAGATATACATATGTATCTGCTTACAAGTATTCTAATACAGATAACTTTTCGGATTAGACATCGATACACAAGATCTTTTCTGACGTTCTATGGTTTTAAGGAATAGCTAAATTTGAGCATGATTTGTCCATGAAATCAGTTTCCAAAAATAACTCAACTCGAGCCACTCTTAAGCCGGTTACTCAATGTCTGGTCAACACTAACAGCAGGTTAGACATCTCTATCGACATGATAACAGTAGTCGATATACATGTTTAGCCTGTAGTTAGTATTAGTCAGACATACATAGCTATTCTAAACAAACTTGAAAATCATTAAGGCACATTCGAAATTTCGTTGCAATCAAATGCACCGTGCAGAAGTGCATTAGGAAAATGCATATAAAATTTCATGCGTTTGCAAATAATCCTTTCTTCCATGCATTTTAATACATCAATCTGGCGACTTCTAGCTTTCGTTTGGTATAACTATTGCCCCTAAAATAGATCCTGGGGTCAGCAGTATATCGTGCGTCTTACAATGACTCCACTGTCATAAAAGTAGGTCAATTGATCTTGTATTTGACCTCTAACATTTATCATACCTAATCTCTTTGATATGGATCTCACTAGAAGCTTCCTTTCATGAAGAAAATCGTACGTGTCCCACCCGTGACAAAAGTTGTCCCACCCGTGACAGGAGAATTTTGAATTTTTTAATAATAAACAAATAATTCTTATTATGGTTTGTGCTTTGTTGGGATTGCTGGTTCTTTTCTGTATAGTAAAACATCTAATCCAGATAGAAATGTTAAGTAAATTCACAGACTTTCCTTAAAATATATGTTCTCCAAAAAGCAGTGTATTTTCTTTGTCCTACCCGTGACGGAAGAAACAGCTCAGAATTTTCCAATATAAAATCAAGTTGGAATATTTTTCGTATTTGGTAATAACTCGTATATTAGTGAACTAGGTGTAGCTTTATCAAAATGTAGAATTGCTTAGTACTTTATACTTAAATTAAAAAAGAAAAACTATTTTTGCTGTACAAATGTCCCACCCGTGACGATGGAATACCCCAAAAGCAATCACAGTGTTGGTAGAATCATTAAAGTAGTATAGCGCTTTATCTGAGTTTCCATCTACGTTGTATCAATTGCAACAGCATTGCAAAACTTCATCCGTGCTGCAGAATGGCCGTTTTTAGTACTTGCCTTAAACAAGCTGACTGTACTTGATCCTTTTTTGTACGATTGATAGGGAGTTATGCAAATCCTAAAGAACAGTATAAAAAAGTATTCAGGACTGTCACTGAAACCATAATAGTCCGATTTTTCGTAAAATCTGCAATAATGTTATCACTGAATCCAAATAGCTACAAACGTAGCATATACTTTGAATGCATACGTTCGTAGCAATTCGAAATCAGTGATCGCATTTTCGTAGATTTCACGGAAATCAGACTACGATGAATTCAGCGATGGCCCAGAATATATTCAGGTATTTTCTCCAATGGCCTTATCCCTCGAGAGGAAGCATACACAAGGGTTCTGAAAAAAGTTAATGAAACACTAAGTGTACACACAAGCGCAGTTTGAATTTACAGAACGGGGCCAGAAGCGCTCCATTAGATCTATTGGAGCGCTCCATATTCACCAGTATGCGCTCCCTTCCTAATTTCATACTTCATTGTATTTTAGCATTATGTGTCATTAGAAAGAAGCGCTCCCTTGCTGCTCCCAAAGAAGCCCTTGGTGAGCGCTTCAACCAAAGCAGTTAAAAAGCGATGCATGCAAATTTTAATTTTTATATTATATTTTGGTTTTAGTATAAGAATGGCGTTTTTGTAAACCATTTGATGGTTTTATTAAGTGTACTTATAAACATGTTTTTTTCTTTTCTATATGGTATACATACGAAAATACATACATACATGTTTGCACATAAACTAACTTTTTTTCAAAAGAAAATATTTTATGTTACTCAATGTACCTTGATGTTACTACTCAAAATGATATTTATTTCTGAGCATGGCTAGAAATTTAAAAATTTATTATTTACTTTGATTTTTTACTGCTCCCTGTTTGCTCCTTTGGGGAGCAGCTAACTTTCAGTCCCGTTGGGTAGTTGCTAATATACACATGTATTTCTGTGGTTGGGCTCCGAAAAGTATCTGTTAGTTAGGGGCTGGTACAAAAAAATGAAGGAGGCGTGGCACCGCTCACCTTTACAACTTGAAAGAGCAAAGACCAAGGAATTCAATGGTATGCTTTTCTTTCTCCTCCGCCTACCGGGCTCCTCAGCCGTGCCTATTAAAAATACGGAAAAAATCGTTGGTTTGGGGAAACTTCCCAATCCAGCGTTCATTAAGGGGGCGGTGGGCGAAAGGGGAGTGGACGTTGCACCTCCAACCAGCGTTTTTGGAGAGGGCCATTGACCGCCATTGACAAAAATGTCGCCCCTGACCACCTAGGCCCCCTATGGTTCCCTAGGGACCCCTTAGAAAAATTGCCAAAAATCACAATTTTCATTTGCGTTTTTTCGCTTGAAAAATGTTAATATTCATTTGCAAAAGACATTTTTATAAAACATTCACTAACCATAATAGACATCACTGGGGCGGCAGCCCCAGGTTTAACAAACAGAAAGGGAATTCTAGTTACCTCATCCTTTCCCAAGGCTACATCACTGGGTCGGTAGCCACAGTTGGTGCACACCAAAAGGAGAATTCTATTTGGTAAGGGTTATAATCCTAAAGCGCGGCCGAAGGCCTTTGGTCTTTGCTCTTTCAAGCTATAAAAGTGGGCAGTGCCTCGCCCGCATCATTTTTTTGTACCAGCCCCTAACTAACAGATACTATTCGTAACATTTCCCTATTTCTGCATTAAATACCTTTTTACGCTGTAGTAGAAAATTTTAAAAATAATGGTGCTGAATTAAAGGAATGTATGTCTGCGCGTTTGACAAAACCACTTATCTAGAGTTCCGCGTTGTTTTTTGAAGCACTGAATCTTTTCGTTTAAACCTGATTTTTAACGAACAACAGATCACAAGTGTAGTTTATACCTTTTTATAAAAAAAAAAAATGATTGTTTGGAAGTGCATTATTTTTCTACTCATAATCAAACCAAAATCAGGGAAGTTGTTTTGTCAAATGCACGGAGATATTTTACTACCTCACAAGCCGGACATATTCAAACTTTTAAAAAAATATTGATACAAAATCTTTCGAGTTCTTATATTTTAAGACTTAATATCTGCACATGCGAATGTACCGAGCTTATTGATAAATAATTAATAAAATGTATCAGTATGTATGTATGTATGTCGGCTCTACAAAATCACTTTCGATGCGAGTGTCCGCTGCTCTTCTATTTACTATATACTCGGCCAAGCTAAGTTCGCCCCGATTAAATTTTTTTGTATTCAATACGCTCCACTTTTACTTCGTCCCCAATTAGTTGATACACATAAGTCACAACCGTCGAACTTTGTATATCCATCAGAACGAAGGACGGTATGACGTTTACATCCAGAGGGTTGAAAGCACCAGTAGCAGAGCCAGGGTTGATGTAAAATTTGTTACCATGCTCATAAGCTTCAAATTTGTAGGTGTGACCGGAAATCAATATATCCACGTCTAATTGTCTTTGAATTAGAGCCAGCGCTTCCGGGTCGCCACGGGGCACAACCTGATGTCCATGTGATAATCCAATGCGGAACTGCCCAACTGTAACTACTTTCTGTTCTGGATAACTCAAGTTCTCATCAAATTCGCCACGCACTATATGAACATCATTGGCCAGCGTCTTCAAATAATCGTATGTTTCTTTAGTGCAAAGATTACCCGAGCACAGTATATGGTGAATACGTCCTGGTACCAGTAACTTCTTGAATTTCGCTGGTAAACTAGCACAACGATGCGGAATATGGAGGTCTCCCAGTACAAGCACTAACATTTTGAGGGCGTAAGTTAACTTTTTAAACAGTAATGATCCTTAGCTTCCTCCTACAATTCTTCTATAGCTTAATTTGATGGACCAGCTGATTGTCAAAGCAATTGGCGAAGAAGTCATAGGGCCGGTTGTTCAATGTCTGATTAGCACAAATCGAAGGTAGAAGCTACGGTTAAGCACAACTACTGCTTTATCGATCACATGTTACATGCATCATGATTGAATAATACAAGGTTAGATAATTATTGACAGCTGCGGTTTGACACTCCCTTACAAAAGGTTGCATTTACGAAGGACAGAGAAAGGGCAAGAATGCAATCCCTTGTTGCGAAAATAGTAGTAGAAAAGTACGCAAAGCAGGCAATTAGTAGTGAAATTCCTTTTGTAAATTCTAATGTATTTGCAGGAAATCTGGACTTTTAAATTAAATCTTGAACGTAATATTGATATATCTACGTGAAATACGTAATTTACGTGCTATTCAGCTGTACAAAAACTGCAAAATGACTCAAAATTAAATTAAGACTACTATGAGATTGATGTAAACATCCAATGCTTATGTTTTCATCAGTTAAATATGCTTCATATGCATATACAAATAAACATATTGCACAAAAGCTTATACTTTTATTTCACACCAAAGCTACACTGTTTCCATGTAAATTTGCAAAGAAGCAACACGGTGCCACTGCTAAGGGAGCGGTGCGAGAGAGACAACTGTCAGTTTATCCAACCTTGTATTATTGAATCATGACATGCATGATGTCGAAATCGTCGATAATGATGTTCAACCGGCAAGTAGTGATAACAAGACATTGAACAAGCGGCCCATAGATTTTAGTGATGTGTTGAATTGTCGCGCGATTAAAAATTTTTATTATTTATCAAGGTATTGAATTTTATGGAAAAAGCGCCGCAGGCGAAAATTTTTAATAAAAAATCGCGCGATTTTTGAATTAAAATTTTCATTATTTATCGAAGTATTGATTTTTATGAAAAAAGCGCCGCAGTCGAAAATCGCGCGATTTTTTATTAAAAATTTTCATTCTTTTTCGAAGTATTGATTTTCATGGGAAAAGCGCCGCAGGCGAAAATTTTCATTATTTATTAGGGCTGTGCGATTAATTGATTACTCAAAATTTTAATTAATCATAAAGTAAATAACTCAATTATTCGATTAATTGGAAATTATGATTACTCAAAAGTTCAGTTACTCGAGTAATCAAGATTTTTGATTAACCAAAAACAAAAATATTTGAGTAATTTGCTTTATGATTAATCAACATTTCGAGTAAAATGAGTAATCAACATTTCAACTCTTTACATATGTACAAAGAAGTTAAAGTTCCTTGATGCTTTGAAAACAACGTTTCTGTTTTCAAAAATGTAAACGAAAAATTTGTTCATGTACAGAATGTAAAAAAGAAAATAAGCATTTTCCAAAGGAAACTCTTTTAACGAGCAAAGTTATTTTTTTGAGTAATCATATTTCGAGTAACTCGATTAATCATCGTTTTGAGTAATCAAAATCTTGATTACTCGAGTAATTGATTAACCGAATAATTGATTAACCAACTTGCTCGAGTAATCGAATAGTCGCACAGCCCTATTATTTATATATATATTAAACGAAAGAAGATACCGAAAAGCATTGAACAGTGCACACAGCTTATAAGGAAAAGTGAATTATTACGAAATACTAATACCGAAGATTTGTTCGACATTTTGTCGTGCGAGGTTGGTTTTGTGAAAAAGTGTGCCAGTTTACAAATTCGAGCAGCATAATTAAAAATACGTAATGTAAAGGCATTCGTTCCTTGAAAAACTAAGCATTTTGTAAAATGAAAAAAGAAAAAATAAATAAATCAAAAAAAAATATATAAAGAAATACAAAAAAACAAAAAAAAATAAAATAAAGGACAAAATAATTAAAAGTCACTAAGTGCTTTATTCGGACATCTCGAGTAAGGTGAGTCAAAGGTGGTGGTAACTGGCTGCGGCCAAAATGCAAAGTGACGCTTCGGGGTCGGACACTGGGGGGACAAACCTGGAGCTGAACACATCTCCAGGGGGGACTGGTTTGAGGTTGGAAGAAATGGGAAACAAGCGGCTAACATTAGGAAAAGGCAAAAATCTAAAGTAGCAAAGGTTGACAAGGCAGGAAGAAATTCCGAAACTGACGATGACTGTACCAAACAGACATAAAATTCTAGCAAAACCAAAAAAACTAAAACTGAAAGTAATAACGGCATGTTTATCCCGTTACAAGGTATGCTTGTTAAAAAAGGCACATACGTGAAAAATGCGCAAATAAATCTAACGGACAATGCGGACAAAATCAGCGAGAGCAGTGAAAATGCAAATCACAAAAAACCGGACAGTGAAAAAATTTATACAACAGAAAGTAGTGGTGCGAATAAAGAAAAGAGCGAAAATGAAAACACCAACAGTGTACGCTACACAAATAGGCACAAGTGCGATTTTTGTGTACTAGTGGACACTTCTAAATCTACAATGATCGAAAACGGCAAAATGCGAAATGGTCTCTTCCTGTGGGACAAAATAAAAAACTTTAATATTTTAGGAATAAAAAAAATAAAAGCAATAGGTAGGTCGCTTTATAAAATTTTTTTTGAAAATTTCGAAGCAGCAAACAAATGCATAGACAACCCGGACTTACTCAAAAATAATATGAGACCGTTCATACCCAAAAGCATGGTGGAAACCGCCGGAGTAGCTAGGCAAATTCCACTTAATTTCACGGAACAGGAAATAAAGAACAATATAGTTTCAGACATACCGATCACGTCAAATACAAGGATTACCAGAAGAGACCCTAATGACAAAGAAAAATTCATCCCGACGTATTCTGTAAAGATAGCCTTTGAAGGTAACGAGATATCAGAATCAATTGAAATATTCTATGTAAAGATAAAAATTGTCCATTATATCCCAAGAATTAGACACTGCTATAACTGCGGAAGATTAGGGCACACCAAAATGGCGTGCAAAGCAGCAAACAGATGTATAGTTTGTGGTAAAGCAGAGGGCTGCAATAGCAAATGTAACCAGAACACAAAATCATGCATACTATGTGGAGGCGATACCCACAACTCACTCGAAAGCAGCAAATGCTCCGTATGGGCAAAAGAAAAAAAGGTAGTAGAAATAATGACCATTAAAAAGGTATCCAAATCAGAGGCAATAGGGATGTACAATCTCAACAATAATAACAGATTCTCTGCTTTAGACGATTTTGAAGGGAACTTCCCTCATTTAGATACAAAAAAAACAGTAATGATCAATAACGACGAAGTGGTTAACAAAAAACTCACTACTACCAAATACAATCAAGTCGTAAAGAAAAATATTCCACAAGTATCCGCACCACCAAAGCCAACCTACAACGCCCCGAGAGTTAAAGCAAGCATACAGCCTGTATATGAAATGGCGAACTGGACTAAGGTTACAGAGATAGAGAGGCTAGTAAATCTTCTACTAAAAAGGTATAACATTGATATAAATGACCCATTAGTTAACCTTATTCAAAACATAGGCAAAGTACACATACAGGACAAAATTTCAATAAGCAATGATGACCAGTTCGATAAAAATATTACAATATAACATACAAAGCTTAAAAAGCAATAAAAACTATGTAGACCTTTTTAATAGTAACAACAACATTGATATAGTATGCCTTCAGGAGATTTTCTCACCTGACATCCAAACAACAATTCATAACCTATTCAACTTCAACTTGCTTAGAAAAACCAGAACCGACGGCTACGGTGGTGTAGGAATCGGATTCAGAAAAGGTATTAAATTCACTTAAATCAAATTTGTCTCCACTTTTGACATCCTTATAGCTAAAACCACTAATTTAATCAGAAACATAACAATTTGTAATATATATTTCCCTCCCAACATCAACACTACTATTTTCACTAACGAACTAAATCGTGTACTTATCGCACTAAACAACCACGAAAACGTTATTCTTGCTGGTGATCTCAATGCTAGACATCAGGCATGGGGAGACAGAATATGCAACTCCAAAGGAAGCATTATTATCAACGAAATCAGCTATACAAACCTTCAATGCATCAACAGCGGAACTATTACCCACCGCACCGGAAACAGTGCCGGATCTGTAATAGACATAACGTTCACAAATATTAATAGCAGTTTGATAAAATGGCAATGTCACCAAGTACATCTAGGAGGCAGCAAGCATTTTCCTATCACCGGAAAGAAACCCAACTTCTTTATCCCCAAGAAACAGCTGGCTAGGGAGTCAGCGCAGGTAAGCTTTGATGACCTAGAAAATTTCACAAATGTGATTGACAATGTCAAGAATAAAATAAAAATTGATTTAAACAAGGCTAATCGCACTCCCAAAGAATGGTGGAGCGAGGATCTCAATAAACTCTACAGACTACATGTGGCAAAACGAAAAAAAGCAAATCATACTAACCGCATAGAAGATATGGAGGAATCAATAAAGGCAACCGGTGACTGGAAAGACGCAGTGAAGAAAGCAAAAAAATCTAGCTATAACAACAAAATAGAAGAAATCAATGCTAACCCTAATTCCAAAAATGCATGGAATTTCATAAGAAATGTCAAAGGAAATAAAAGGCCATTGCACAACTGGGCAGCCGAAGACGACCGCAACTATTTAGAAATTATAAAAGAACAAGCCGAACAAGCTAGCAATCACAATATCACGTGTTGTCCATCATTCGACGCGTCTCCAAGCGCGTCAAACGGGAGCATTGATTTCTCATACATGAAATTTGAAAAAATTACTAGCGAAGAAAAAATCAACAGCTGGGGGGCTCGACAGGGTCACATTTGTAGGACATTACTTGTTAAGAAATTTACTCGTTTATTTAAATTTTAACAAAATCTTTTCTGTGGATACTTTTTGTAGTCAAATGAAAAAATGAAAAAATAATTGTTAGAAAAAATAAAATTTGTAATAAGAACTTTAAATATATTTCGTGTTCGCATTTCTTATTACACATTCAACATCCTAAAGCAACTGTCTACCGAGGCGAAGCAAAATTTACTAACATCCTTGAGAGAACACTTTCACAGCAACAGAGTCCTAAATGCCTGGAGATTAATAAAAG